CCTTGGGTTCGAGGGGAGAGATGGGAGCGTGCCGCCGTCGGAAGGGGATTGAAGGGGACTGAAGCTTTGAAGCTCAAGTTCCTGGACCAGGTGGGTGGGGGTGGGGGGGGAATTTTGGACGCGCGTTGAGGGGCGGTGGGGGGGATGGGGACGCTCTGTCGGACGGTCAGTCACCACCCCCCGATCCATCGACCTGCAGGCTGCACAACGCCTCTTTTTGGAAGATCACTTCGCCCGGCTACCATACATCTGCGTCCGCCGATCGAAGGCGCCTGTCAGCGTCAGCTCTCGCTCCACTCCAAACAGAATGCTGGAGGCAAGTGTTTTGCGCGCGCGCTAGTGGAGGCTGGCATCGCCCAAGTCTCCTGCTGTCTCCTCCAGCCTCCTCCTCCCCCACGTCGTGTTCCTCCCATCGTCCCTCCTGCCGATACCTAGGACTGGCCCTCCACACGCGCTGCGTGGACTCCCAAGCGCTGTCCTGGATTACCAGTCGGTCGGAAGTAGGAAGACGTTGGAAGTGGATTGGAAGACGTTGGAAGTGGATTGGGTCTCCGCCCGCCCCCTGAAGCGGAAGGAAGAGGGTAAGCCACTCGATCACTGAAGCAGGAGGGCGCCTAAAACGTCGTGGCGTCTGGGAATCCAATGATACCTACTCTCAAATACCGTCTTGTACACCAGAGGGTGGACAGCCTGTCGAGGCGGACCCAAGGAAGCAGCGGATGCAATCACAGAGCTACCTCGAAGCGTGCCGAAGCCCCGAGGCTACATTCCAACCGTGGACCTGACACATGCAAAGAGCTCCACTAGGCCTCCATTCCTTCTCCTTCTAGATAGCTCCTCCCCGCCGCACCCCGAGGCCAGTTTTTAGGGCGGGCCGGGCGTTTCGCCAGAGACTTCCTCACCACTTATGACTCTGAAGCTTCAAGAGTGGCAACAACTTCGCCGACGGAGGGCGGGTCGTTTTCAAAATGTGGCTCTCGCCTTCGCGCCGCGCACATTCGCTTTAAACATTTGCAAGAGCTTCACGGATTGAGGGCGGGCCGTTTTCAAGATGTGGCTCTCGCCTTAGCGCCGCGCACATTCGCTATAAACATTTGCACGAGCTTCACGGATTGAGGGCGGGCCGTTTTCAAGATGTGGCTCTCGCCTTAGCGCCGCGCACATTCGTTTTAAACAGTTTGCAAGAGGTTCACGGATTGAGGGCGGGCCGTTTTCAAAATGTGGCTTTCGCCTCAATGCCGCGCACATTATTTTTAGAAGTTTGCAAAAGTGCCACGGATTGAGGGCGGGTCGTTTTCAAGATGTGGCTCTCGCCTTAGCGCCGCTCACATTCTCTTGAACAAAATGTACGAGCTTCACGGATTGATGGCGGCTCGTTTTCAAAATATGGCTCTCGCCTTAGCGCCGCGCACATCCGTTTGAAACAATTTGCAAGAGGTTCACGGATTGAGGGCGGGCCGTTTTCAAAATGTGGCTCTCGCTTGAGCGCTGCGCACATTCTCTTGGACAAGTTGCAAGAGCTCCACGGGTTCCCATCATCGGCGCACTATGGAAGGATTCAAGATTATGCGAGCGCAGCAGTTATTTTGATCCGCGGTGTCGAAGTCCCAAGAATGGCGCTTTGGCACGATTCTGGACCGTCAAGACGCAGCAGTCAGGTTGATACGTGACGTTGAAATCCCGAGAACACTGTTTTGGCATGGCTCTGGATCTTCAAGCGGTTGTCTTCCAACGAAGCAGTTCCCTCAATGGGAATGAACCGTTGCGGGGGGCCTATGAAGAGGGAGCTTGGAGGGAGGGCTAATTCCAACATCTTTGATGACTCTTGGTTTTACACTGGTCCTCCTCCACCTCGCCCTCCTCTTCCTCTTCCCCCTCCTCCTACTCATCAGCATCCTCGTCTTCTTATGTTTCTGCTCATGCGTATTATCATTATTACCCTTGTTATTACCATCATGAGTATCAATGCTAGTACCAGTATTACCATTCATATGCTTCGCAGTATTATCAACAGTCTTATTATTCGTAGTATTATGATTCCTCCTCCTCCTAATATGATTTCTCCTCCTCCTCCTCCTCCTCGTCCTCCTCCTCCTCAACTTCCTCCCCCTTCTCCTCCTCCGCCTCCTCCTCCTCACCCTCCTCCTCCTGCTCCTCATCATCCTCCTCCTCGCTCCTTCTCCTCCTCCTCCTCCTGCGTCTCCTCCTCCCTCCTCCTCTCTCCTCGCTCATCGTTCCTCCTCCTCCTCCTCCTCCTCCTCCTCCTCCTCCTCCTCCTCCCCCTCTTCATCATACGTGCACCCTCTTCCTTGCCTCCTCCTCCTCCTCCTCCTCCTCCTCATTCATCCTCTCCCCCTCTACGCAAGCACACATAATCGAGCGCCTCCTCGGAGAGACAGTACCGTCAATAGCGAAACCCAGCACACAAACACACACACACACACACACACACACACACACACGCGCGCGCGCGCCACGAGGTAGAACAGAAGTAGGGCACCAAGACCCCACAGATGATCCCAAGGAACCCACAAGATGACCGCAAGACCCCAACAGACCACACACAGTGTCCACAACGGCGCAAGGTCCCCCAGAGGCACCACGAAGCCTCCAAGTAAAACGACGCCACGGACGTGTAACCCTGCAGCCTGGCAGCGACACAGCACTTCTACGATGTTGATTCACCCAGGCACGATGACCAATACATTCACAGCATGCGCACAGAATCATGTGCATGCGTATGGGCGCACGTAGAGCACGGCATGAGCGTATAAACGCTTGCATCTGGATGCGCGCCTTCTCCGCACTGTCGACTCGCATGCGAGAGAGTCCTGCTGAGGGAGCGGGGCCCTGCGGTCGGCGACGGGCTCGACCAGATTCATACAGCAAGCTTGTGGAGACGAGGGCAAGGTGAAAAAAGCAAATCAGCGCGGAAGAGCGTCCTGGCAACCAACCTGGCGTCGTGACCCCGTCCTTCTCCACCTCGATGTACGTCCAGCCTTCTTCCGTCTTCGAGTGCGTCCAGACGATGACTATGGAACCCTCCACGACGCTGCACTGATTCTCGTCCATATCCTATGGGTAATGGTTTCCATCAAGGCGCAACCATAAAGTGCGCGCGGCTACTACGTTTGCACGCTCTCTGCAGGCTCTCCTCTTGCAGTTGGCATTCCACCAGCGCGCGGTGCTGAGAGATGGGATGTTGAGGTTGCTTTTTTTGTTTGGGGCAATGCTCAACTGCGGGCATAGGTTGCGAAGTGAGGTTGTACCCGATGCCATTCCTCTACAGAGCAGCATCTCGATGGGTTGAGCAGCTGCGCAAACAAAGAAAGGCGTTCTAGCCCCTAGCCCTGCCATTGAATACTTATACGATCCATGACGTGCAATCCACTCGACAGTGGGAATGTCGTAAACACACCACCTTGGGCTCTTTTCTCCAAATTGCCATCCTTCTCGCACGACCTCCTTTATGAGAACAACTAGGCCGAGATTCTGGCGGAGGGACGTCTTCCCAACAGGACATAACGGATTCCAAGTCGGATTGCGAAGAGGCATCTGACGAATTACGCGTCTCGCCCGGCCCTAGGCATGACAACTCGAGCGACGCGTAGTCATCGTCTACCATTCCACTCTCTAGACGAAAACGCATGGAACTATCCAGTGTATGCGCGTTATCTGCTCTCATGCCCCTAATTGTGGATCCACGGTGCCACACATGCCAGCTGGGGTTGTCGTGCGCTATTACGTCTGCGGGTTTGATAAGCGGTATGCGTCTTCACTATGCCACTCCGCACTTGCAGTGAGAGCCGCGTGAAGAAAATGCGAGACACGAGAGGAGGACGAGGATGATTAAGAAAAGCAGGGGCAAAACCATCAGTGTGGCAGAGACGGCGACCGGGGATGAGGAGACGGAGACGGATACTCAGTGCTTACATGAGAAAACCCTCAGAGAAAATAGAGTGCTGAGGTCAGGGCGCTGATATCATCCACAGCTCGGGCCTAACGGCCAACTCATGGAACGCATCGTCGTGGTCACACATCAAGCCTTCCCTGCGTGCTACGCAGTAGCTTGCACACCTCAGGCAACTGCTCTCGAGCTCCCCAAACAGCGGTGCCAGCACCGAGAGGTTCTTAAACCCGTGGGTCAGAAATTCTATGGAAAATGTACGGAGTCTTTGGCTGCCGCCCTCTTGGTTTGATGCACAACCCCAAGCCAAGAAGATTATGCAGCTGCCCTGGTGCACCACTCGCCCCGACTTGACGTGGCCTGACAGGAACTGTCAACGTGCTCCCGGTTGTTTCAAAGTGCATACACTAGCCCCCACCTGCCTCCACTTGTTGCCAAATGTTGTCACCTACAAGAGCGTGCGAACAATTGCTTCTAAATGCTTCCACCTGCTGCCACTGTGGCAGAATGTGGAAGCATGCGGAAGTGCCACTTGCTTTCACATACGTGCGCCAGCATGCTTACAATTGCTCTGATTTGCTCCAACTTGCCTCCTGTGTCCACTCGTTCTACTTCAACTTGCTCCTACGTGCTGCCACATGCGTTCACTGTCTGAGGTCCGTACGCCAGCATCGCTGCCTTTCGGTTTTATCAACCTCAATTGAATCTGGATATTGAGGTAATGCAGGGAAGTATCCTTCTATGAGCTCCTGAGCGTAAGCTTCAATCGTCCCGTCCGCTGCAATCTTCATAACACCACAAGAAGACCTCTCTGAGCTTGACGTCGCAAGGGCTGCATCGGCCAGTTAGGATTGTGGGCTCAATCATGTAGTTTGAAGTGACTGTGCCGCAATTGCACTAGTAGAAAACGACTAAATGGATAAAAATGGTCCGCACAGATTTCTTGGATCAACGCTGGACCGCCTCAACAGCACGCGTAGGGCGGCAGAGAAGGCTGATACGGGAAACCCGCGGGGACCTCCAACACTTCATGTCATCGAGAGCTGGCCGGATTTCTCGAGAATCGATCCCCAAATCCCTCCGAGGCGGATCC